GCTGTTCAAACTGCCTTGCTTTCTCTTTGACTGATATCTTTGTGCCAATGATCTTTTTGAAGACTGGGCTGCCAACGTCGGCTCTGCGGTGCTGAATCCCTGCCCTTTCCTTCTCTGCCCTGACACTCTCCTGCTCCCACTGAACTGGGTCCATAATGACTGCCCTACTCAAAGCATCAGAAAGGTGTCTTCTGGGAAGACGAGTTGGTAGAGTCCACGCCCGATGAATGCTTCCCAAAGGCCATCCCAACAGAGAATTTTTCAAGGCTAACTTTCTGGGAGAAAAGGGGGACAGAAAATCTTTTCTCTCTGGCAGGACCCCAGAATAAGCAGAACCCTGGGTCGCACCCTCCATGTACAGAGGGTTCTGAGTTGTCAATGGATTCTCATCAGACAAAAGCGTAACATTACTTGCAGATTTGGGGAAGTTATTGTTCAATGTTCCATTGATATTAGATTGCTTGTGGGCCTCAATAGCACGAGAGGCAAAGCTGCTTATAGCCCTCTGACGGTCCCCTTCTTCGAAGACTGACTTTCTCCCCTGCTTTGTTGAAATTGATAGAGAAGAAAAAGACTTGAAAGAAAGAAAATAATCACAGGTAAGGAAGCATGCATGGACATTGATTTGAATGAGAAAATATAATCTGAATGCTGTGAACAAAAAACAGTGACGTCTAAAGCTTTCTAAGGATATCTAAGAATCTAGAGCTACATGTAATTAATCTATATGTCATTAAGATACAAACACAAGACATTTATTTATTTATTAAGGGAAGTGGTTCACTTATCTTACCAAGGGAAGGCAAATAAGGTAAACTTTGATCTTCTTAATTTAAACAAATGCCTTTCAAAAGCTAATGCTTTTTATAAATCTGAATTTTCTCCTGAAAGCTCAAAAGCCATGACAAAGAGGCATTGTGTATGAGATCTGTTTCAAGGAGTGCACATGGTGTCTAGGTTCTTGCTTATAATAAGTGGGGATCAAAGAAATAAAAATGACAGGACAGTGGATTGTGAGGGAAGTTCCCAGTCTAGTGATTTCTTTTTGCTTCAGAGACCTGAAGTACACATGGACTCAGCCACAGAAAGGGCTTTACCATTCATCTGAATGGAGGAGACAGCTTCATGTTGAGAGCTGCCCCTTGAGTCAATATGCATAGGGGCACCTATATGAATAAGAACTCAGTTGTAAATTATTGTAAACATAAGGGTCTGGACTGGGATGTTGCAAATGGGCTAGAACAGTCCTTATCGTCACCAAAACAGCTGTTAATCCCTGTTCTATCTGAAACATCATGGATTTATGGTAACATGCTGTGCATATGCTCCATATTCCTAGTGGGATCAGGAGTCTATTGCTGTGTTGATATGGTGAGTAGTTGTAAGATTACGGGGTTAGTGTGGGATGAGTCACTTCTCAGCGGCATCCCCATGGCAGTTGTGCCATGTGATCTGCTTGCAAGAGCAAATGGAAATTGTATTTAAATGAGTCAACCCACTAAGCGATACTCCTGTGCAAGCTCTGCTCACTTCACTAACAAGGCGCTTTCAGGAGCAGTGGTTGGCAGGCTATGCTCTATGCTCCCTATAACTCAAATTCATTTTGGCTTAGCCTAACTGCAGACATGGTGAAATGAAAAGGCTATGCTTTGGTGATTTGATGATTGCAAAGCTTAAGCTGCTCCATAGCGATCAGTCCCATTGGCGTTAATGAGCCTTCCAGTAAATGCACGTTTTCAGGTTGCAGCCTCTAAATTTTAGAGGTGCCAACAAGCTGAAGGGGATAGAATCTACTCACCAGAAATGTCTTCACACACAGTGCAATGACAGTGCTTTCAGTTCCTTAGCCCTACTTCCCTTTGGAACGTAGTACATTGAATGATTTAGAAATAAATGTCTTCCAGTTACTACATTGCTAGGAAATAATTGCAATTCTCAGTAACAAAAATCAACTACTTTCCCCATCTGCTACAATATTACCCGCAATGGTTTGAGTTTACTTACTGATGCCTATGTGTCCAAAGACAGAGGAAAAGGAAGAAATGAGACATGAAATGAAATGAAACGTTAGTTCATGTATATAGTTGTGTATATTATGAGTAAATCCAAAGCCAACAATGAGAAAACAAGAGAAAACAAGTAGAATGAGTGATACGGGGAAAATCAGAAAAGCAATTAGAAGCAGATGTTCTCTTCAGAGCACCTATCATTTAAATTTGGAGAGATCACAGAAGCACTGGCACTTCAATTTCAAGTTGAAGAACTTACTGAAGTGATACAAGTTATTGTTTCGCACAAAAACAATTTCACCGATGAGGTTTAAATACAACACAGTTAAGCAAAGCAAGGCGTTCTTAATCCACAAAGTCTCTCAGTAACTTCTCTGGGCACAGCAGGTTTTCTGAAGTAAGTCCCATTTCTAAAAACAACCTCATTCCACTGCCATCTTCATAATTGGCTCCCAGTGCTGCATAGAGTGCTGGGCTGGATTTTGGACTCTTTGGATTTTGAGCTCTATCCGATCTATATCTGGACATTAGAACTTCTGTACATGCATACCATGTTCCTCACCCCCTGTGACAACCTTGTCCTCCCTCTTGAAACTCTCTCTCCCTCATTACTGGGATTTTGCACTCAATAATTTTTAAGGACTAAACAGGCTGAAATGTTATGAAATGTCATAAGTAATGACATTTTCTGGGCAAGTGACAGTATAGTGATGATAACCTTTCGTACAATTTCCACTTTAATGCAGAAGTTAATAAAACACATACACACACTCTCTTGAAAAAGAACAACAGATTAATTTATTCACATGTGCTATTCATAAATGTACAGACCCTAAACCTGGTGACCGCACACTTTCCTTAAATTTTTTGTTGAGCACTATCCAGAACTTCTGCATGAGGTGCGGGGGTGGTCAGGAAGTTCTGATGTATATAGCTACAATCACAACCCATTAGAAGGAGAGAGCTTCCTATGCTGTGGTACAGGTGGATGGCATCACATCCCTTACAGGGCCATGGACTTATCCGGCCACATACTAAATAATGGAAGATTACCTCCTGCATCACCCATGCACTAATTACTGGGCAAGCTAGACATTCCAAGTTTTGTATGTCAAGAATGCAATTTTCTGGTTGAAATACCAGCCTGCTTGAATATCACTTCCATCATTTACAGCTGACTCCATGGTGGATTGACTCTACGCCATAAAACCCTGGTGTCAGAACCAGCTTCATAGTGTGAGTAGCGTGTCAGTGAAAGCAGCAGTACAGAATCCTGGTTCTGTGACATATTTTGCTTCCTCCAGATTTAACTTGTTTTGTCTCCGCTCTGATAACATCACTGGCTCTGCTCCCTCAGATCCTGAGCTCCCTTCCCTAGAACTTGAGCTGGCTCTGACCACACTTTCTATCCTAGGCTGGCAACTTCCCTGGGCCTTGATAACCAACCCTTGACTCTTGCTGATACCTGAAAGTCAGATTAACTGGCATGTCACTCGGGGTACAGTGACCAGTGAGAAATGCTAGGACCCACAAAGCTCATGGGCTATCAATCTCCCCCATTCCAATTGTCCGAGGATGTGGTGACTCCTAGAAATTGGTGCAACAACCCTTCTTGGCACAGGATCTGCCTGGGCAATCTTCCCACCATAGCTTGTCTCTTCTCACCATAGCTCTAAGCAGGAATAATCTGCACAGAAGGGGTAGCCCAGACCCAATAAGCTGCGGATCATGAAAAAAGGTATAGTAGCAAAAAATGATATTGCCAAGGCATGGCTTGCTGCCCAGGTATGCCCACACATGGAGGCTTCTACAGCCAACTCTCTATTGATGATACTGAATGCTGGATCACGCCCAGCATTTAAAAGCTGTAAACTATTTCTGAAATGATACGCTGTTGTCAAACATGTTGTTAAAGTGGTTTTTTAAAAAAATGCTTTGGAGAAAATTATATGATGCTATTTGAGATACATTTTCCCTGGATGCAACTGACACCAGTAACCCTGAGCAAACTTATCCTTCTCATAATTGCCTTGTATTTAAACAAACGAGCAAATGAAAACACTCTTCCTATGTTAAAAAAAAGGGGGGGGCATCATAAAGACGTTTACATGGACTAGATTATAAGACTTACCAGAACAACAAGGGCAAAAATGTGCAAGGGCAAAAATGTGCATTGTTTGATGTAATAGCATCTCTTACCACAGTTGACAGTAAAATCAGAGTAACCTTGGGCCTCAAATGCGTTCCAGAAACAATCAATGCTGAATTGACCAACATTGCTATGACCAAGCCATTTTGCAACCTCAACTTCAGGGACTGAATGTGGCCCTCCATGGATCTCTATGCACCCTCGGGATCTTCCCCAGGTCACATTTATTTCTTGTTTAAATATTTATAAACCACATTTTCATATATAATATCATGTCTTTCATTGATCCTGTTCTGTGATGTGTTACCAAACTGAGATAACATCTCTTGTTTGCTTGGGTGGGCAAAAGTGTGGGTGGGGAACACAGAAACCTGTCTTTTACATGGCTAGCCTGTTGCCTATTGTACAAAAGCAGTGCCTTTTCTTTCATTTGGGGGAACTCGAGGGTACACAGTACTGGCATCACGTTGCTGTTGTTGTTAAAAAGTGTGGCATTTACAGTAACCACGTCATGGTGAGTACTGGCACCTATTTTTCTAGAAACAAAAAGCACTGTACAAAGGTAAGGGTTACATCTGTTGGTTTGGCCATTTTTGCCTTTGGCTCTGCCCACCACTGGTATTTGGCTGTCTGGAAGGTTGATCATGTTGGAATGTGGCCCCCAGGCTTAAAACATTTCCCCATCATAGATCTTAACCTTGATGTTTAAGCCACCATGAGTGGCTTGTTAATTCTTCCCTGTTCTTGAATTTACGCAGCAATGTCAACTGTAATTTCTGAAGCATCAGAATTATACTTTGAATTGCTACTATTTTAAACCGCAAACATCACTGAGGACTTACATGGTGCTGTCGCCGAGTTCTTCATAGAGATTATGGGCAGGAGTGCTTGCTGGTTTGCCAGCTGGTAAGGCCATCTGGATTCGAGCCGTCTTTGCACATTCTGCTTGTCTCCTTTGGTGAGTCACATGGAAAGGAAATGGAGAGTGTCACACATGGTCTCCCACCAAGAACACATCAGCCGCGACAGCCCCCAAAGGGATATTTGTTGCAATTTTTCACCTCGTGATTGGTGACAATACTAAGAAGAGAATTTGAATGCACCACATGGCAGAATAAAATCTGGCTCCTGACTTTTTTTTTATTTGCTTCTGACATACTGTATGCAACTCAAGTTATGATAAAATATCCTTTAGTGAGAGTTCTGAAAGAGTTTTAAATATCACCTCTCACTCTTGGAAATGGATACCTGAGATACCTAAACATGAAAGCGAACGATGTTTTCAATGGAGCTTATTTCCAAGTAAATTTAAGAAAAGATGCTGCATTTGTGTTACAGAGCAGATAAAACCAGATTATCTCAGTGTGTTACTGCTGACCTAACAATCCATGTATTGATTAGTCTGTGTTAGGAAAATACACCGGGATTTATTTTTAAGGCGATTATACTATTCATTCCTCTGTCATTCCTAGCCATGTTCAAGATTCAGCAGTTTTTAAGGAAATGTACTTCCTTTACACACACAAACACACCATGCAGTACAACACGGCATCTATCTATCTATTTATCTATCTATCTTGATAACTCTTATCTTACACTATACAGGCTATATAATTATCCTGTCTCTTTTAAAATCTAGGCATACTCTGATATATGCCATTTTCATAGTTTAACTTTATTGCTTTCCGTAGGAATACTTCAGCCAATATTAAAAGTGGCATATGGAGACCTGTATTTCAATATGATCTCTGCTTTCAACATGCAATAGCCAAGGGGTGGAAAATCTGGGGGCAGAATGTATCCCTCAAGTTCTTTCCATCTGGCCCTTGGGATTTTTCCTCGGCCACCCTCCCTCTCCTCAGGCTACAATCCCCAGTGATATTTATTTATCCTATGTAATGCATTTGAAACAAGGCCAAAAATAAATACTTACTCTTTAAATCTGTTTTGTTATGCAGAGTGATAAAACAGAGAACAAAAGTTGTGAGTTTCACTTAGTAAAAATAATTCACATTGTGAAATCTAATAAATTTCATAAGGCATTAAATTTAACTGTACAAATCACATTAGGGCTAAAACATTAATGGGTTAGTCAGTTAACAGTGCAATCATATAAAGGTCTGCTCAGAAGTAGACCCTGTTGATTTCAATGGGATTTACTCCCAAGTAAATGTGTATAGTACTACAGTCTTAAGGAATCAATTAATAAACTAAACAGGCATCACTGATCAGGCAATGCAAATTAAATTAAGCATTTTACTATACCCAGGAAAACCACATATGACAAAACACCATCTTAAGAGAAGAACCACCATTCTCATATAGGAGTTAAAGTACGGTATCTTCTGAGACAGCAGCTGGTGTGTCATATAAATGTCCCCTCTTTAAAATAAAACAGCAAGCTTTTTTCCTTTAAAACAATCACATGTAAATTGGCCACTGTTCGTGGTTAAGGAAGAAAGAGCTTAACCCCAACTGTAGATTTAGATGACACACTAAGTAAAACCTTGGCTTTACTGCCATGACACACTCAGCTAAGGATTGTGGAAGAGCAAAGTGGCTGCAAGCTCCTCTCTGGGAGCCTCTATGTTCATGTAGTCCTACGAAGCCATAGTTCAATTTATTGTGGTGTGCAAGCAAATAGTTTACTGGTGCACTGGGCTTAGGGCTAAGAAGGCATGCAAAGGTCTTCAAGTGGCCCTATGGAATTTCCAGCAGGGAATAGGTCATGCTTTGCAATTGTCAATTTATTACTTAAGGTTTTTTTTTTAAAAAAAATATCATTGCAATAATGTGATTTGCATGAAGAATTTCACTGGCTAAAGACAGTCTACAAAAGCCAATGTTTTGTTTAAGTCGTTAATAATAAATTTCCTGAAAGCAGCCCAGATGGAGACTGCAGTCTTATGGAGAAGTGGTCACTTGTTAACTATGAAAAACTGGCATGATAGGTTTGGAAGACAGTGCCTGTAAACAAACTAGCACAACACTGCAGAGTAGTTAGAGTCAACATTATCAGTGATACATTTTATAGCTGGTCTATCTTAATTTCTGTCATTAATTCCTCACAAGAAGAACCTAAAACACATTCATTTTTTGTTTTGTTGAGTTATGTTATTCTGAACTTTATATTGATATTCTGGATTTTCTTCATTTAGCCATCATGTCACTAATCATCTCTAAGATTTAAAGATGGCTGTGGTTAACTTCACAAATCTGTTGCTGTAATCAATCCTATATGTTTGGCATTTATAGATATATTATTTCCAGTGTGTAATGGGGACGTGTGGGTCACTTATGTATTTTGTCTCTCTCAATGTGGTATTTGGAATGTTTTGATTGTTTGGTATTGTTTTGTTTTTTTTAAAAAAAACAAAAACAAAAAACCCCAGTGATTAAAACAGCAATTCCAACTAGAGTTGTTGCTTTCAAATGTTAGGAGATGAAAAAATAAGTCTTACAATTACTTTCTGAATTAAAATTATAGATATAATATAAAGGAAATTAAAAATAATAGCAAGGCTGTTCTCCATTTTGAGGTCCATTTAAAATGTGCCACTCTACTTTCATTAATTCATAATTTGTGGGTCACCATTGATTTATTCTTCAGTACAGGATACCAAAATTTCAGAGGTGCCACCTAATAGAAATGAGCAGCAATAATTTTTTGGGTTATTTGCAAACTATACTAGGAGGCACTGAGCAGTGCTGCAACACTGTTATTTCACCCTGGAAAACAAGTAGTGTAAAATTCATTTAACTTTACTGTGCTTTTTTACAATCTGCAAAAATTAATTCATTGAATATTAAGCTGATCAGTGGCCTGGAAAGTATTGAAAAATGTAGCTATGAAACACACACACAATCTTAATATAAAGCAATTCTTAATGTTTCCATTTTATGTGCACCAATGATGACAGTTATGTTCATTTGGCTTTAATTCTTGCATTAACTTGAATAGTTATTTTGCTACCTTTGATATTTGGTGATTAAAGCATAGCAAAACCTTAGGAGAAGAGGAAAATACACACATTTCCTTATTATTTTAGTACAGATCACAGGTGACAGGTACACAGGAGTACTATTGAATATGGCTTTAAAAACCATCAAGGTATTCTTATTCTTATCCTTATTAATCTTACTAAATTTTATTAGTTGCTCTTTCACAAAAGGGGCATGAAGCAACTGACAAACTTTGTAATACAACAAAATAGTTCAAAATACAAACGTTAAAGCCAGGTATAAAAGCCAAAATAAATCAAAAACTTAAGAATCCACACATGCAAAAAGCAGGTTGGACACATCCTACTCCATTAAAAGAGATCTGGAGGGCGGCAATACAAAAATGGGCCTTTTCCACGGTGGCTCCCTGGTTGTGGAATGCTTTTTCCAGGGAAGCATGTCTGGATCCCTAACATCCTTCCCCCCAGGCCTTTGGCTAATTAAATTATCTATGGCCTTTTAAATGTGCTAGTGGTGGGGGAGAGTTACTGCTTTTGGTTGTTACTATGGTATGTATCCTTGTGTTTTTATATTGTAAACCTTCCTATGATCCTCTGTTGAAGGGTGGTACATAGATTTAATAAATAATAGTAACCACAATACTAACAAAGACAAACACCTAAAACATTCCAAATTAGGGGCCAAAAGCCTGGGTAAAAGGAAACATTTTTTGCCTGGTGTCTAAAATTATTGTTATTATTTATTGAATTCATATAGCACTCTATACCCGGAGGTCTCGGGGCAGTTCACAGAACAAAATCAAAATATAAAACCACAAAATATATAATCAAAATAAAAACAACCCAATAACCTCTCCCCCCCAAAAAACCCCCCACACATTTTAAAAGGGCATAGGAGCATTCTACAAGCAGGGAACCACCACTGAAATGGCCCATTTTGACCTCCTGCACTTCCCTCGGGGGATCACACAGAGAAGTTTAGAACTCACAGGATGGAAGTAATCTGAAAGATGGAGGGGGTGCAAAAAATCTATGTTGCAGCCCCTGGGAAAAAACTGGATTGCTGCCCTAATGATCCCTTGAAGCATACCAGAAAGGGAGAGGCCTTTTTCAGAACATGACGAAAGGGTGATCAGGTTGTGTGAGAAGAAAAGGATAAGGTTTGGTACCTACAGGCAGCGGATGTATGCTGAATAGAAACCCATAGCTCATTTGGCTGAATTGTTAGTTCTTCTAAAGTCTTGGGAACAAACCTGGAACCTTATTTGCGACGTGTACCTTCTACCTTTTAGTCCTGGGCCTTGCCCCCAAATGGCGAGCCTCTGTTTTCAAGGAGGGTAGAGCCTTGAGTTTTTCTGTAAATGCTCTTGGTGAGGAAGAGAGACAGTGGAACCTGGAGCCTAAATAGGAAGGGCTCCTCAAATGTGTATGCTGGAAATGTGACCAAAAGTATGAAACCTGCCACCAAGCACAGCCCAGTCTTTCATCTTTGATGTATACAGAGTGCTGGCATACTTACTGTTTGTAGCTGACCATAACTATTAAAATAGCAGGCATGCAGCAAAGGATGATGATGACAGCCAGAGCCAGCAAGGCCCCTTCTGTGTAGCCTACGGCTTGGGCCTGCTTCTTGACATTGGCCACCACATCTGGAGTGCGGATCTCCAAAATACGTCCTCCTTGCCCAAGGTACGGCTGGAATTCTTTATTGATATCCAGGAGTTTGCCATCCAGAAATCTTGAAGATTAAAATAAAATAAAATAGCAAGTAAAACAGGCAAGATCAAGCTGTCATGTCTCTTCTTCAAATGTGATGCCTCCTCCAGATGTTTTGCAGTGGGAGTTTTAGTCCAAAACATCTCAAGGGCACCATGCTTGAGAAGGCTATTGTATTCCTATTTAGGGTTGCACTGGACATTATTTAATATTTACTCCAATATTAGCATATTAGACACAGATAAATGATTATTGGGAAGAAAACAGAAAAGTATTTATTGGGGGGGAATATGAACATTCTGATTTCCCCCCAGTGCCCTTTTGTTTCCTGATAATGATTTTTGTGCATGGGAATGACAGTTTCCTCTTCCTTCTTTGCCTTCTCTGAACCACATGCGATCTCACTGCCATGGTGGGATGCTTTGCTTGGCTCACTGCTTGGGCTGTAGTGACCCACCAGATTGCTCTTTAGAGGGGTGACATTTGCAATGACATAGCACCAGACATAGCATCACAACAAACCTACATTGTCATTGTTAATTGGGCTGAACAGCATCGGGGGCAAAGCGGGAGGAGTAAAATGGAGCCAGGACACAATGACCCCCGAAAAGAACCGAAGGGGATCAAACAACACCGATGCAATGCAAACATGATCATAATAGCGAGTGCCCAAAAGACCACATAAAAACAAGAATGCATTGCAAGGTGTAGATGCTGTTCTGCAAATGGGCAGAACATCAGGAGACTCAGTGTTCCCAACATTCTTTCTGAACTATACCATGGGCACATTGAAGTTAATGGACAACTTAGGTTCATTTATTTCAGTGGGTGAACTCTGTGTAGGACTTAGTTGAATACAACCCCATTAGACTAGCTGTACATTCAAGCGTAATGCAAGAAGAAAGCCTCTCACTGCACACTAGATGATGCTCGTGTATGCTAGATGTCATTTGTACTGATGAAGAACATGAAGGAATTTTGCTTGGCTGGCAGTATACTTTTGGGAGATGTAACACTGCCTCTCCTAAAAATTCTGTAAGCAATTTCTGTACAAACCTCTATTTTAAGGTTTTTATAGCTCAACTGTGCATATTCCACTCCAGATGAAATCTGGCATACTGTACAAAATGAGACAGGGGACCTTTTTTATTTTTTAATGTCACATATTTTCACGAAGACAGTTTGCTTGAGAAATTTTCTCTGTCTCTCGTGTTTGTAGAAGATAATGCAGGCACCTAATATTTGGTACCTAACAGTGACCTTTTCCTGGTACTAGTAATGGAATTGCAATGTAGCACACAACTAGAGTTACTTTGGCAAATAATTTCATATGCATCTTCAGGACACTCTCAAGTCAGCACTCAGTTCAAAACTGCAATTATATAATTGATCACAAGACTTTGCACACTTAACTGGAAGAAAATGTCACTGAAATCAATGGAACTTCCTTCCAAGTATGTGGAGTTGCAGCCAAGAATACCAGATAAAATTATGCAGGTTCATTCTGTGTGAGCACTTCAATTAATGAGAAGTGAAACAATCACCTAATATCCAGTGACTATAGACTGTTGATATACTGAAATAGGGAACCATACTTTATGAACTAGGGAAGCCAACTTTATGAACTAATGTTCAGATCAGAAGACACAGTGTATACCTGGCAGCCTGAGGAGTCCCATGCCTAAACCCAGCTTGGGAAGAAGAAGAATCATGAATATGTTCTCTGGATTATGGAACTGCTTTAAGCACATATGTTTGTAAAAAAAAATGCAAATATATTGACTATGGCTATTTAAAACTTGCTGCCTGACTGCTACAACAGACCAGCTCAAGTCTCCTGATGTGACTTGCTTTTTTCAGAAATGTTGCCATAAGCATTGGGGTTTTTTTTTTGGTCTTGCTGGACAGCTGTCCTGCCCCAAGTAGATTATGAAACTGAGCCCCCTCACTCTTCTCTTGGTAGGAACAGGACATCTGCATAGTCACATCTAAGTTTCTCTTTACTGTCATACAGCCACATTTTGTCCACAGTGGGCAAACTATTGTTTGCATAGTCAAGATTTTTTTAAAATTGTGATCTCCAGTTCTGGTCTGCAGACAAAAGTGGGTTGCATAAACTATGCTTTGCTGAGAACCAGGAAATATGGGAGGATATAAAAGCCCATGAAGGGAGGAGAGAGATACAACACAGGGCTTGTGTCCTTTATTTACCTCTCTCCATTCTCTCTCCCCCAAAACACATTCTTTCTGCTGTTCTCCATTCCCTGAAGGACATTCCTTGAATCAGGTCATGAGGCATGGAAAGAAGATAAAACAGGTGTCTGAAGAACCCAGCTTACTCTTCCAAAGGACAATGAAAGCCACCTCTAAGATCCCCCTGCAGGATCTGCTGGGTAAGAAAGGTCACAGAATCCCCTTCAAAGCTTCTTACAGCAGGATTAGGTGATGGAAAGTACCAGTTGGAGTAGCTTTGGAGATTAGGATAAGAATCTGAGCTTATCTGAACCAAACCTCTGGAGGTTCCCAGCCACAAGCTAAAACATGTTAATACTTCAGATTGAAACTCTCACTTCATTTCCCCCCTTTACTTTGCTAAGCTGACACTCATTCACCTCTACCCCAAAGCCAAGGTAGTATTCCCTAGGATTCTGCTGATTTAAATTTTATAAAGCTTTTGAAGAGAGGGGGAAAAGGCTGACTGTGCAAGCATAAGAAAATTGTTTAATTAGGTTGCTTCTAAGCCAGTGTTAATCGGTAGCTGTTCAAAACAAGAAACCACACACTTTCTTCACTTTTTTTTCATGTTAACCTTCTTTAGTACAAAGTCTGTATATTAAATGAAGGAAAAATGATACAAGATGATTCCTCAGACCTGTCTTGGGGGAGGGGGGTAGAGGGTTGGAGAGAACAACCAATTAACACAAGATGCTAAATCTCTAAAAATTACACAAAGCTGAGGCTGCTGTTAGTGCTGATGGTATAGAAACAGTTCTTTTTTAATGTGTGCTGTGATCCTGTGTACATTTACTTGAGAGTAAAACATCTAGGCTATTGGGTGCTGCAGCTCTTTGGGTGTTCTGATTCACAAGAAGAAGAAGATGTAGCTGTATAGTCAGTTTATTAGTTGCTGGCTTGTTTATTCTTAGTTGTTAAGTTCTAGTTATGCAGCTAAGAAAAGGAAGCCACAGAAGACTGACATAAGTCATATTGAATAGCCTCTTGTAGTCCAAAAGGAAAGTAGAGTTGCCAGCCAGTGACGGTAGGTGTTAAAAAAAGAGTTGGTCCAACTGCTGAAGTATCACCAGTGATTTATGCAATTTGTGCATATGACACTTAAAAGAACAACTGCGTAACGTGTGCAACAAAGGTGTTTCCATTTCCAGGTATAGATTGTGACAGGAGCACCTGCACAGGTGAAGCTTTCTGGAGCACCAGAAATTGTGTGGTGGTTGTGATCTTGTGGATCATCCTTGCAGAGTAGTTATCAAACTAACACGCCAGAAACAACACACCAGAAACTACAAAAAACAAAAACAAAAACTAAGGGTATTTTCCTGACTCCATATTATTGGAGGAAGAATTAATCAGGAGACTGTTCTGCAGCCATGTAGGTAGCCGATCTAAAGGACTATCAGCTGACTGACCCATCTACAGAAACATGATGCGAGTGGGCTTTGTGTATGTGTCAAGGAAAATGTATTGGGCCAGGGAAGAGTACCAGCCTGGCTCCTGGGCTTAGGCCTAAGAAAGATATTCTACTATCATAAAACAAAACAAAACACCCATTTTGAGGCTGTTTGTTACATAGCTTACTTAGAAAGGCAGTGAGATCTGTAAACTAGCAGATCTCTAGGCAAGCTTCACAGGATCATTGAAACCCTGTATTTCAGAAATTGTCTTCATTCCATTGAATAAATTGAAACCAAAGAGCGATTCTAATAAAATATCTTGTTGAGTATGCATGATTAACTATTAGGACATAAAAAGAGGACATAGCAGGATAAAAGAATGACTAGAGACTGAAATACTACAACATGGGACAAATTTGCACAGGGATAATATTCCTGCATACAAACACAGCACTGAGAAAATGCAGATTAAGACATCTCACCATGAGTGCAAATAACTATATTGTCTTAAGTGATAGCTGTGTGAATGCAACTGATGACTGAATCCAGCCCTTCTTTTTTGAGTGTGTGTGTGTATCTGCATGTGAAAGGGGGAACCAATCAAGAGGTTTGAAACTACAGAATAAATCTTGTGTTTTCTTGTTTTGTTCTGTATGTTCAAACCTTTACCACTGTCAGGCTGTATATTTGCTACCTGTTAATATAATATTAGTCTATAAATTAATTTTCTCCTCTCTTTTTCTGTGGTTATTTCTAACTCACACCACCTATGATGAGCCTATTCACTATACCTCTTCTTAACAGGCACATGCTTTTCTATCTCACTTGTGCTATAATTTATCCACACAAGATTTGGGACTCAGGAGAATAAGATTCCTCTAACGAATCACAATTCATAAGGCAGCCCATAGGTATTTGCTTCATGGACATATGACTGACACATTGCCTCATTCCATCATGGAGCACTGTGACCTGACTCTCCTTCAGGGAGAAGAGGTACAATAAAATATATGCAAAGCAGCAGCAGGCACCAGAGAGGGTTTGGAGAAAGAATAACGATCTCCCACTTTCCACAAATACAAGGCAACAGATGAAATAGGTTTGGGAATAGAGATGAAAAATAGCAGTCTTCACAAATGAATGAACCAACACATGCACACTCATTGCAGCAAATGTCCTTAGCTTGCTGACTGCGTCATTCATACAACTGCTGAAGATCCCAGACAAAGTTTGTGAATAGGAATATTCGTGGGGTGGAGAGGAGAGAAATTCAATTCAGTTCATATTTGAAACCAATTTTACACTTTCCAAAATGGTATGCAAATTGAGAACAAAATTCATTCTGTCCTTTGCAAGGCAGTTCTCCAACCAATGTTTACAAAAATGCAAATATTAGAAGTAATGTGTGAATAAATGAGTATATATTAGTGAAAATAGCATACAAACTGCATTATATTTGGAGAAAATACGCTGATCAAAACTGCAGACAGAAACGTGTTTATTAGTAAAATATTGTACTTCATTTAGGGCATTATTGAGGAGAAAAAATGACTTTCCCACTGGCCAGGCTAAGCTTTTCTCCCTGACTTCTAGTTTTCTAGTTACAGAGAATGCTTTATATGGAAGAGCATTCTGTCATGAGAGCCTCTACCAGTTATCCAGATACAGGTTCAGTTCACCTTCAGAGTCCTGTTTGAGTGTCCCCTCCCATGTGATTATAGTTATGAAAAAGAAGAGCGTGCTATTGCAGTTTCTGTCTCTCCCCTTCTGTTGTGTCCTCATTGTCTCATGGTTTATATTGTCCAGGATTCTAAATCACATATGGAGCCAATCTCCTGCTGCAGAAGTTATCTTTATAACAGGTAAGAGGTGTACAGATTGAGTGGTGAGGACATGAGAGAGGAGGATAGGTTCAGAAAGCATGACTCAGTCTCCTTTGTGCACTGTAATCCCATGAAGCCTCAATAATGCTCAGCTGCTTGAGAACGCTAAGCCTATGTTCTTCCTCATTCTGAGCCCTGGCATCTAGTCCATCTGGAAAAAAACCCCAAACAGAGCAACCTTTCTGTTTCTGGTGGGAAAAACTAGATATATGCTTCTTTCCCCTGCCCAAAAGCTAGGTAGCGAATGGGAAATATATATTTCTACATCTGCACTGGAAGGGCAACCTTGAAATGACACTGAGTCAAGATAAATCTAGTTTCAAATCCTAATGTGTTGTATGAGACAGCAGCATTACATGGGTACTCAAAACTTTCCAATGAGCCTTATGTGCAACGTGGCTATAAATATTATATACATATATCAACAGCTTAAAGGTACATAATGGTGTGCATGAAATCACAGTGTGGTGGAAAAGGAGAGAGGGGTATTAATTTTGCTAAGCAATGTGGTCAAGTCAGTAACTAAAATAACCATTCTGCCAACCAGATATTCACAGTGCTGACCACAGAGATAATGCTACAATGACATGATGGAATACATACTTGAAAAGCTCGTTCCTCATTATAGCACGGTTTGTTTGAGGGTCAATTGCGTAGACCATAAGATCGGATTTTGAATAGTCTTCTTCTGAATAGCCATCTCCGTATCTGCGAGCACCAATGGATTCTACCACAACCCTTGCGCCAGGAATCTGGTCTTGAATATAGCGTTCCAAAATCCTGATAACGGAATGCAATAGAAACATCTTCTGTGACTAATTGACATGTTCATTACAGAGAGACAGAGAGAGAGACAGAGACAGAGAGAGAGAGAGAAGCCAAATGGTAAAGAACACACCGACCCTAAAACCCAGGTATTTTTAAGTGCAAAACTCCTAAGGAAAACTGTAGCAACAAAGAAGCAGCTCTCACCAGCATTGTGCCCATAACACTACTAATGTGTATTTATGATAGCATTTGAGTTTTAAATGGCTTTGGGGAAATTCCAATGGTATTTTCCAAATAAAACTGTTAGCATTATATAGGAGTCAGTTTCACCTCTTCATAGAAGGCTAATAAATTCTCTCTCACACAAAATATGCCCACGATGAGTTGCAGTAGAATATTTCATTGATACATACAAGATGACATAACATAGCAGGTAGCAGTGCATCTAGTATTCCTCAAGAAATATAGTAAGCTTTGCAATCAGGGTATGGAGCTGACAGGTTTACCACAGGATGATAAAACAAACAAACAAAAACCAGGCCTGCAGTTAAACCACAGGCATTATATAGAAACTGACAAAACTGTTGCAAGATAGCTTAAGGCTTAAGCAATGTAGCTGCACAAATATGCACTGTATCAGGGACATAGAAAACACAGTTCAAAATTGTCCTGAATCTAGCAGGTGAGATCTATCCACAGAAATAGGTCTCTGCACTGATACATATCTAAATGCACATCTATGCTCTTCTTAAAGGGGGTTCAAAGCAAAAAACAACAACAACAATGCAGTGGAAAATTAAAACAGTATAACAAACTCAAAAGAACTGTAAATTAAACCAAAACCGTAAAAATCAAGTCAACAGAAAAACAGCAACAACTGAATTTTGTCATTATTGAAAAAGTAGCAGCTGAAAAACTTGTTTAGCTGTTTATTGGAAGGCAAGTTTTCCTTCAGCAGGGCATTCCTTTGACACGAGACTACCACAAAAAAGACCCTTGTGCCGACTTGCCGTACTTCAGATGAGAAGAGGAACAAAGAAAAGGGTCTCAGGGGACAAACTCAAGAGTCAGGAGGATTCACATGGGGGAGGGGAGAGGCTAAAACAATGCCTATATTCTGGATTTCATGTTGATGAAATACCAACCTTTTTCAGTGCTTAAGCCAGCCTGAAAGGGGTTAAATGCATTCTGAACCATTAATGAGAGGTGCATCTTTTTCTTCTTGATACTATTTCCCAACCATTTTTTCTTTATCCCTTTTTTGGGTCCAAAGAGCAGGGGTAGCTGGCTTTTGGCCCTCAATATGTCGTGGACTCCAACGTCTGACGAGGGTGGCCAATAATCAGGGATGATGGGAGTTCTAGTCCAGGCATTGGCAAACTCGGCCCTCCAGATGTTTTGGGACTACAGCTCCCATGATCCCTAGCTAACAGGGCCAGTGGTCAGGGATGATGGGAATTGTAGTCCCAAAACATCTGGAGGGCCAAGTTTGCCTATGCCTGTTATAGTCCAACAATATCTGGAGGGTAAAAAGTTAGCCACCCCTTTTACAGGGTACATATATTTTATGTCCTTTATACAGTTGACTAACAGGTCTGGGAGTTGAGTGGTTTGTTACTGTTCAACGTTTTGCTATGTTCGTCTTTGGATTCTGTGAGATGGAGATGTCAGAGGAATCTTTTGGCCTATAAAGCAGATTTCCTTGTACTCACCCATTCGGTCCCCAACCCCCATCATCACATGGACTCTTGTTATGAAGGTTTTTCACCTCAGGTTTTTTTATATGATGAAAGGTGTGGTTTTTTTTAAATGCAGCATTGTAAAGAGATATGTAAATTGCCTTGTAATTTATGTTATTTACATATTCATTGATGTATAATTGGTGCTGTCCCAACAGGGGCCTCACTGCTTTTCTTTTTCCTGAAGTGTTGTTTGCTAATTTTATATGCAACAAAGTTGTTTGTTTCTAGAGGCAGTCTATAGACACTAAGGATGCAATTCTAACAATGTCTATTCAGAGGTAAGTATCATTGAATGATTGTAACCTTTTAAAAATAGAGTGCATCATTCATGATTGTTCTTTTCACATGGAAATAAGTGACCTGTTGTCCGCTGTTGATTTTATCTGTGCTCCTCAGTTAAAATCTGAGGATTTCTAACTGTCAAACACAAAACCCTGTTTACTACAAATATTTAAAACATAGACCAGCTTGAGCATTGTTTCAGCAAATGCATACACACAACCATCTTCTGCATAAAACACTCATTTATGAAATAAAATGTTGCATTACAAACACTTTTATAAGTGGCATTACAATGACCGAAGGAACATGCCTGTAAAATATTTATTATGCCCACAGTAATTCACACAAGCCAAAACACAAAGAGCAAAAAATATCAACAGGATGCAAAACTGTCCTTCCCTGATCTGAGCAAGGGAAATGAAACAGGAATAAATTTCTGCTGAATCAAGGACACAAGCCTTCCATCCTAGCTTGCCTCGTCTTGGAGTAAGCCCAGTTGAATTCAATGGGATGTATGTCTGAGTAGATATGGTTAGGATTAGATTCATTAACTTTGAAAGGGAACCCATACGGAAGTTAACTGGTTTGTAAATGTTGATGACTGATATATGCATGTCTATTGTGCACTACAATATTAGTAAAATAAATAAATAAATGTATTTCCACATCAGTAGATGATGTAACAGAAGACTTGTGTAAAATAAAGATGTTGGCTATTTGCAGTATAGTAACGCTGCAGAGAGCTTGCTGGGGAGACCATGCATTAAAAAGGGACTCAAAAATAACTTAAACAAGGTTTTAATTACAAAAACAAAAACTCCTTATACACTAAATGCATCAACAACAAACCAGACCCAACCACCAACCCATCCTCCAGGGTAATGAGGGAGCTAGGTGCTGCTCCTTATATACTATACCCAATTGCTGACACAGCTTAATCAGTACAACTCAGCAGCACCTGCTATGTTTCACAGCTGTAAAGCTGGGTCTCGTTATTTTGCTCTGGCCCTTGCTCTGGCCCCTTAAAGACATACACATCGGGTGGAACAATGATGAACATTTAAAGAAACCATTCAACAAAACCAATAACAGAAAATGCTGGATCGAAGTGTGAATGAACAGACTGAGGTACCTTTGTACATCCCTACTTGGGGATACTTCAAAGAACAACCATTATATTTATACCCCCCACTTTAAGATGGGAGTCCCAGGTTCTCTTGTCCAAGAAACCTGTAAGAGCCTTGCCCACAATTTAAGCAACACTAGGAATCTCTCTTGGGTCTCTTAAAGATTGCAACTGCCCCACCTTTCCTTTCTCAGTTCTAATCTGGAAACTCTGAGAAGGGTAATCCTCATGGTTCATGCATCCATTCTGCACTGGAAAAAGGTGTCTTTTAGTACTCCAAAATTGCTATGACAAAATGTATAAACTACTCTAAGGACAAGATAAGCAAAACTGCAGCAGCATAATACTAGGAATGGCAGAAAACTAATCCAGTTCAGATCAATATGTGCTGTTCTTCACAATATTCTCTGAATTTCATTTATTGTTTTAAAAGGGCTTGACACTGATTATTCTAACCATACAATCATCTTGGGTACAAACCTCACTACTGAAAATTTCAATATACAGATCAAACTGATCCAATGAACAGTATGCCTCTGTCCTGTTTCCTCTGAAATTTAACCTGACAGAAAGAAACTACTAACAAAAGAAGTGCTTTTCATATTCATTATAGACAAAGGCATATATACATTTCAGAATAGTATCTCTGTGGGCATTTGCTACATGCTGCATCTAATGAAAAGGGGATTTACAGGAGTTACAGGAATGACTGCATGAACTTCAAACATTGTAATAATGTAGCAAACAGCTATTCTGTTCAGCAATTTAGGAGTTGCTGAAATGTGATAGCGATGGAAGGTGAATATTAATGCTTTTTTCCTTTAAAAAAGCCCACCTGAAATGTCTACACGAGTGTTAAGAAAACTAAGGCAATGATTTTGTACATTTTTGTTTGTTTGAAAAAATACACATAATTGTATGGCTCTAGAAATAATGCAAAATCCTCCCAGTATGGTTATTCTATAAATATGGAATGAAAAGGAGCATCTTGATGAAGACTATATGTTGTTGGTTTTTTAGTGTGAAAGCCTTGCTTGTGTGCTATTGCTGCTGAACTCAACAAGAATAAGAGATGAGAAGAAGAAAAAAGATAAGAAGAGCTCTGCTGGATCAGGATGGTGGCCCAACTAGTCCAATATTCTCACAATGGCAAACCAGATGCCCATGGGAAGCCTGAAAGTAGGACTTGAGAACAACAACCTCTCACTTATGCATCCCAGAAAGTGGCATTCAGAGGCATCCAACAGTGCAGGCAGAACATAGTCATGATGGCCACACAAAAAGAAGCAGAGGTTACCATGGATTGTAAAGATCACAGAGATAAGGTATGTGAAGCACCCCGGAATCTCAAAAATGGCATATATATATGGGAAATATGATGAAACTCTGCCAACCGCAACTGCACTGTTTCCAGTATAGAGTAGCACATCTATGCACTTATTTTTGTCCAAAAATTTAAAAACCTGAATGATTTTAGGGACCATCAAGTTTAGGCAATATTGGTTCTGTTGTAGCGCAAAAACATCTAAAGCAGGGTGTGTGTGTGGGCACCTCTGCACATGAGAAAAACTGTCTTGGACATGGCACCACAAACACACACACACTGCTACATGTGCCACAATCATGCACACGTGGCAAACACACATATGCACACAAGGCATCACAACCACACACATGCACACACTCCTGCGTGTGGGTTTTTTCAACACTATCTTTTGGGGGTGGGGGAAGGGGTACTTCCCTGGGGTTCCTTAGGAGGATAGGATATAAATTGAATGAATAATGATCTTTCTCAGAGTGCAAGAGTTGATTTTAATGCCCCAGCTGCAATTTTCAAAAAGATCACATCCCTATAAATATTA